GATGGTTCTTATATGCCTTTTCTGTTGAGAACGGATTTAAGCAATGGTGGCAGTAGTGTTTCTTGTTGATATTTTTACTGCTTTGGAAGTTAAGTAATCTACTTTTGTTTTTTACTAATACATAGTGATAGTTATTATCTTCATCATAGATTTTTAACAAGTGAATTTCATGTTTAGCATTTCTATTTTTAGTGCCTCTATGTATGATAATCTTATGATCATTAAGGCAGTCATCAGTTTCAAAAACATTTATTGAAACTAATTTATTTTTTCTTCAAATCTGTCTATATCCCTATTACCAGTTGGAAATTTTACACCATCCCAGTTCAAAATGTCATCATTCAATCTATTATAGTGGAACATTTCCTCTGGGTGATGTTTGCTTATTTTGTCATAGACTACGGATTGAATACAGTACTTGAAGCATTTTTGGTCTCTGTTTTTTATGTTGATACATGCCTTTTTTAGTTTAATCCGTTCTGGTAGTTCTATATAACTTCCTGCTCTTGTCGGGTCAAATTTGTCATAGTGAATAGTTATTGACAAAATGTTTTTGAATCTTAAATTAGATGTTGAACCTTCTAAATTTTGTATTTGTAATCGGATTTGACTGACGCTATCTTCTAATGCTTGTGTCAGTTCATCCTGATTATGAACTGGATAATATGTTGATGCTAAAGCATATGCAAGTTCCTGACTTCCTAATTCATTTCCTCCATCATCATATTCAGGTTTTTCAAATAATCATCCTTCCGTTCTTATGTTAAGTTTCATGCTTCTATTATTTCTCAAAAAATCTGATAGTCTTTGTTTTTGGTGTGCAATCATTTCTAATCCCCTTTCTCCTTGAAAGTGTTTATTTTCCAAAACTATTGAATTAGCGTATCTTCTAAATGCTGATTGAATATCTCTGACCCTAAATTTATTTCTTATGGCGTGTTTGGTTATTAATTGCCTAACCCTTTCTCTATTTACAACATCCGTTGCCTTTTTCATAGCATAACATCTGTATTCATTAGTTTTCTTTACTGACAATAATTTCTTTGTTAAAACATTTGATATGGGTTTGTCTTTGTTGTATCTGAATTTCTTATCATCTATTATTATTGACTTTAATTCTCTTCTTCCTCTTTTTGGTATTTCTGCTAAATCACTACTCAATAAATAGTCTATAACTTTTTTCATCATATAATAGTATATATTTTATTTAGCTAATTTATATTTGAGTAGTTTTTACAAGAATGTTTTGTAATCATAGAATATATTCCTAAAGAACTTTTATTTGAGTATATTAGTAGGATGGATTGCTCGAAGGATTTACTTGCTGATGTGTCGAGTAAAATTAATTCTTGGAGACCCTAAATGTTTGAAGTTTAAATTGCATCATATTGAGGCATTAAAGAGAATACAAAACAAATATAAGATTTCAAGACTTGGTCCTGAAATAACAAGACATTTGAACTATATGTACTTGAATACTGTATTCTGAGAGGTTAGTTTCAAAAGTGTAGAAGACATAATAAAAGAAGAACAAGAAGAATGACTAACTTTGATTTTCGATGAAGTAGAAGATGATTTAATTTATAGAGTTAAATTTGACATTGAAGTTCAATTAGTGGCAAAACTCCCAGAAAAGGAATACTGAGAAAATGGATTTAGTTACAGAGCGATCTATTTTATGAACGGCTTTGATGAACATGTAGATAAAGATAGCATGGGCGATATATTAGATAAAGCAGTTGAAGAAATAAAAGCCTGCATAGAATAAGGCCGAGATACAGATAGTAGAATAGGAATACAGGCATGTCATTTTAAATCAGTAATTATTGAAGACTATGTGTTTGAAAGATGGGATTATTCAAGTGTATGGGTTATATAGTTATTCTGGACTTTTGCTTTGTTTCTTATGTTGTCTTTTGTTTTTGTTGGTGTGCTGTTATGGTTTTAGGTATGGAATGAATGATGTGATGATGTGAATTTCTTTGAATATATATTTAAGAAATGACTGTTTTAACATTTATGGAAGATAAACTCGGAAAACTTGCAAAACTTGTGGAAAAACTATATAATTTTAATGAAGGACTAAAAACATTTATAATGTGCTTATCAGATCAAAGATCCAGTTATAACAAACATAAACATAGACGAAACGAGGTTCAAGAAAAGATATGAAGAAGATGAAGAATATAGAAAAACAAAGTAGGACTGCAATAAAACATTTCAATCTAAATTTATTAGTTGTTCTGTTTGTAATTGTTCAATGACCGAAGCAAATTGCTATAAACATAAGAACACAGAGAAGCATAAACGAAATTTAGAAAAGGTCAGTAGTTAGGAATCTGTAATAATGAATGAGGTAATTATGTACTGACTGTTACGAATTTAAAAAATGAAAGAGGTAATATATGGTTAATAGTGATGATTTTGAAAATTGAAAGAGGCAATATATGGTGAATAGTGATGATTTTGAAACATGAAAAGAGGTAATATATGGTTAGTAGTGATGATGTTGAAAAATGAAGAGGTAATATATGGTTAGTAGTGATGATTTTGAAAAAATGAAAGAGGTAATTATGTTTTGATATTGTTGAGTAAACATGAAGCAATCACTAATATTTAAACTGACTTTTTAGACTGCTATGCTTCTTTTGTGAAGAATTTTTGAGTTGTTATACTGCTATGATACTTGTTTATAAAACTTCTTTGAACTAATGATTTTAACATTTTTCCCCCACCCATGTCGGCTGGCCCAAAATCCTGTCCTGCGGGCCTTGAAATTTTCGGGGTTCGTCTGGGTCCATTTTTGTCCGAAAATGTGCTGAGGCCCAGCCCAACCAGCAACCCGCCTGCTGGCCAGGCCTGTCCACCCAGCCTCAGGCCCAAGCTTGGCCTAGCGCAACCAGCAACCCGCCCAAGCACGGTCCCAAGTCATCCAGCAAGCCCAGCCCAGCCTGCCCAGCCCATGCCAGCCACTAGGCCCCCAGCTCCCAGCCCACCAGCAAGCTCAGCCCAGCGTGCCAAGGTCAGGTTTGTCTAACGTGTCTGAGACTGGCCTCAGGCCAACGACCACACGTGTCTGATCTCAAGCTATGCCAGCTACTAAGCCTGTCTGACGTCCCCAGCCCCTCATGCGGCTGCCCAAGCAGCTCAGCCCAGGCTGGCCAGGCCTTGACCTCCTGCTCGCGTCTGGCCCCAAGTCATCCAGCTCAAACTATGCTGAGACGTCCCTCAGCCCGCCTGCTGGCGTGTCTTACGTGTCTGCGACTGGCATCAGGCCCAGCCCAGCCAGCAACTCGCCACCCAGCCTCAGGCCCAAGTGTGTATGAAACAGGCCTTGCCCATCCAGCAACCCGCCCAAGCACAGCTCAGGCCAGCCCGCCCAAGTTCCAGGCGCAACCAGCAGCGTAGTCCGGCTGCCCGGCAGCCAGCAATTATGCATGGCTTCGCAGCCTCGTGGCTGAGACTAGCTTCAGGCCCAGCCCAACCAGCAACCCACCTCGCCACTAGGCCGGCCCCCAGCTCCCAGCCCTAGCCCAGTGTAGGTTTGTCTAACGTGTCTGAGACTGGCCTCAGGCCAACGACCAGTCTCACGTGTCTGAGACTGGTCTCAAGCTACGCCAGCTAGCGTAGTCCGGCTGCCCAGCAGCCAGCAACCCACCCATGGCTTCGCAGCCTCGTGGCTGAGACTAGCTTCAGGCCCAGCCCAACCAGCAACCCGCCTAAGCAAACCCCACCCAAGCCCACCCTGTTTGAGACTCGCAGGCCTCAGCCTATCTAGCGCCGAGACTGGGCCTCACCAGCCTAACTGGCCTCAGGCCCAGCCCAGCCATAGCCCAGCCCCCTCAGTGCGGCTGCCCAGCCCGCCGTAAACTAGCTTCAGGCCCAGCTCAACCAACAACCCACGCAAGCAAGGTCCAGCCAAGCTGCCCGAGACTAGCTTCAGGCCCAGCGCAGGCTTATCTGATGTGTCTGAGACTAGCCTGTGGCCCAGCCCAACCAGGCGAGGCCGGCTTGTCTGACTTGTCTGGAGCCAGCTGCAGGCCCAGCCCAACCAGCAACCCGCGCGAGCAAACCACAGCCCAGCCCACCCAAGACTGGCTTCAGGCCAGCCCAACCAGCCACCCGCCCTAGCAAGGCCCAGCCCAGCCCGAGCAGGACGGCTTCCGAACATCGAACTAGCACGGGCGAACTGGTGCGGTCACAAGCTTTCAGTAGGATTCGGACCTTCCCAACACTGGATTTCGGTGTTCCTGACCCTTCCCTCAAACTAGGCTGGGCCGAGGCGGGCAACGCGAAGCGTTTACAATTAAGTGTAGAGCATCTCAACCTGCTTGCTGCTAAACCAAGAGCAAAGGCACTACGTCTGCGAGGGGACCAATTCCATGCTACCCCCACTGGCGCAAAGATTTGGCTGCATGTTGCTTGCCGATGCTCGAATGTCCTCAGGGCGGCTTGCGCGCGGCAGGCGGGTAGCCAACGCCCATATGGGAATGGTGTACCGGCCACGCAGCCGGGAAAATGACACGAGAATTGCTCTCACTTCATCTCGTTCATGTAAGCAATCAGGTCCGCTCGCTCCTTCTCCTTCTTGATGCCTGCAAAGACCATCTTGGTTCCAGGAATGTACTTCTTCGGGTTCAGCAGATACTCGAACAAGTGCTTGTCCGACCACAAGATGGCAGCATTCTTGTTCGCTTCCGAGTACGCAAACCCATCACAGGTGCCGGAAGTGCGACCAATGAGGCCCCAAAGCGGAGGGCCCTGCTTGACGTTGCCACCTTGCTCGATTGTGTGGCACTGAGCACACTTGGACTTGAAGAGCTTTGCACCCTTCTTGGTGTCACCCGCAGGCACCTCCACGTCAGGCTCTGGCACCGGCATGGCTTCCAAATGTCTGATACTCGGACTGGGGAGCTTTAGAGCCGATCCGCTGCACTCTCCACCGCTACAGTGCCTACATCGCATTTCTTGCGTCATCCAACAGAACATCAGCACATTTTCCGGGTGCATCATGCATGCTCAAGCTCATTCTGAATTGCAAGACCAGCGGCCTCTGGTGCAAGAAGCAAAGAAGCGAATTTATCAACGCATGAATCACAAAAGCATCTCCAGAATATAGAAATTCATTCACATCATTCGCCCAGGATTGGGCTTGACCAAATCTGATTATCCTGCGGTCGTCACTCTCATCTGTGACCTAGCATGGCGTGCAATGCCGGGCCAAACATCAGCTGGAAGGGAAGCAGCAGGGACATGGAGTAGACAGGCTTTTCTGCACCCTGTGCACTTTCCGACCAGGTTGTTGCAGTAGCTGTTTTTTCCCAAGGTCGGCAATTGCCCCTGGGATTGGGTCATGACGAGGAGCGCAACACGCACGTGTCCCAAGCAACCAGGCAAGTGTAGACGCGCGCGCAAGGCGTGTGCTATGTATGTTGCAACCAGCTGGGTGTGTTTGCGCAAGTAAGTGTCATCCTATGTCATGCAGTGTCTGTGTGTATGTGCTAATATATATATATATATACATACATGTATATAGATATATACAATATACACATCTGCGTGTGTATGTCTCTCTCTCTGTTTGTCTGTGTCCGAGCTCGCGTGGGCTTGTGCAAGCGTTTTGCAAGCTGAAAATAACAAATGGTCAAGGGTCCGCACGTCACAGGAGCGCCCACAAGCTGCCGAGAGTACCTGTCAGGAAGCGTGGCAAACTGAGTACACCAATGGCCTGAGATCAATCAATTGCTTGGGCTCACTCTGCAAGAAAAATGGGGAGCGCTCTTGAAGGACCTTCAGTGCTCTTGCCTTCTGCAAAAGCAAAAAGCAAGAGATGCGAACCCAAGCCGTGGACTTAGAACGGCAAGGACCCCCGACTTCGGGAAGTACCTCAGGCCGGAGCGAGCTCCGCCGAACTCCGGCGATTCGGCGAAGCTTCGGCGCCCCCGGGCCCGCGGCACGGAGTCGGCGCCGCTGCGGTACGCGGAGTCCAAGCCACCGGCCTGAGAACCGGTGGCTTGGAACCGATCTCTCGGCGAGGCTGGGAGTCTGGCCAAGGGAACAGCACCCAGGCCTTGACTGTCAAGGGAACAGGAGTCGCGGTAGTCAGCGCTTTTTTGATTCAGGTGGGCTGTTCTTGGGTTTGGGTCCCTCCGGAAGTTGAATGGGACCTGTATAGCTTCAGTCAGTCAATTTCATGGAAGAAGGAAGCCGAGCCCAAGGCCCTTCTCGTCGAGACCCAACTCTTGCAAAGGTCGATGCCTCAGCGCGCACGACCTCTGCCACGTGAAAGGGATATTTTGGTGTTAGCAGGACAAATCCGCGCAATGGCTGAGAAACGATCTATCCAAACTACTCCAAGGCTCAGGGATAGTGCCAGCCAATGGCTTGAGTGATTTCTCGATGCCCCCAGGGCGTCGCTGTTGCAGGGATCTGTCGGGGAGTTGTTGGGCTTGGGGTGGCGGGAAGCGGTTTGATTTCTATAGCACTCTCACAGCTTCGAACGCACACAGAGACGAACACGCACACGTGCGGGGGGGGGGGGGGGGGGGTAAGAACGCGATCTGATGTTGAATAGGGCAAGTTGGATCCCGGATGCCATCACGGCTTTAAAACGTGGTTTAAGTTGGAAAACAGATGCATTGAGTGCAACGGTTGGATGAGTGGCTTCCAAGACCCACTACAAACTTGAGGCAAGGCAAATCAATTATCATGTTGTGACTTGTGTGCAGTTTCTTTTCGATGGCGATCAAGCCAAGGCGGCCGGAATATATCTAAAGCAGTTCGGTATGATATGCAAACTCCTGAGAGTATGTCTCACGGACGGCAGAACCTAGGGAACACACTGGCCGACATCAGCGTGTGTCTGGCATCCCGTGCACGTTGCACGACGCTCAGAAACTTTCCCTGCAAATACCATGCATCTGCACACTTTGTGGTTTACAACTGGCCCTGCCCTCCAGACATTGTTTTCTTGTTTTAAATTAGAGTGTAAACAACGTTTGTTTCCCAATACTAAACTTGCCTTGAGTGCTACATCGGCCTGGGCTGGATTTCTGTACAAGCCTTGAACATGATCGACTTCAAGTGTTAAGTTGAAGCCTGTGAGCCTTCGAGACATGTAATGTTGGCCATGAAACGACGCCAAAGCAAGCGGTGGCTTATTTTGAGGGTTCCTTTTTTGTTGTTTTTTTAAAGGAAAGCCCAAAGGAAAACCACGCATTTAATGCGTGGAGGCCCCTAGAAAGGAACAGGCCCAGGAAGCATGCACTGGAGCTTTCCCCTCAGCTCCGCACGTTGTGTGACATCTACCCAGCGCGATTTCGGCGATGATGGTACGCCCTGGCGCTGGAATGTCCGCTCATGATCATGATGCTGAAATTGGCTTCGGGACAAGTGAGTCTGAAAAGAAGGCAAAACATCTCACAAAAAGCTGAGATCATGCAAATGATGGCAGAAAGCTACAACTGCGCCTTGATGAAGAAACGAGAGTGTTGCAACAAA